CCTCCGGGGCAGGCGGGAATCGAACTCATGCGGAAGTGGCTTTAGCTTCTCAGTGCAGTGCTTTAACCCCCTGCGCCACCAGGGAGGGCCTACTTGTATAAATTATTTGATATTTTCAGTTTTTACACAAATACATTCATTTAACTTTTAATTAAATTTTCCCCCTTACAGATGTTTTTAGTTTTAATATGTACGTTGGTCAGTTTTTTTGAATACTATCGATTCATTTCCAGTTAATCTGCACTCTTCGAGTTTCCTGTTAAAACATATGATGTCATCTTTTAGATTACTTTTTAAAATTTTGTGAAATTTTCCACTATGACCATTTTGTGAAATTTTCCACTATAGTTAATACAAAGTTCACTCTTTATCAGAGTCAATAATATAAATCGATAACAATTTCCTAACATTATTTGAAAATTCAGTGAAGGGGAAGATTTATAATATAAAAGTAAAATCTGGTCTGGTCTCTGTAAAGTTGTTATGTCCTTGGCCTCCTTAAACCAGAACTTCATTAAATACTGTGTCAGCTCTGTTCTTCAGTGCCTTCTAAATACCAGTTAGCTATTTATTTCATTACAGCAATGCAGTATAGCATAATCATTAAAGATCCAGGTTTTTTTCTTACTATATGATCTCCAGCCAATTAATTCCCCTCTCTTAACTTCTGTTCACTTTAAAATGAAGATGTAGATAACATCTTTTCTGGTATGTTGTAAGCTCTAAATAAAATTTGCAGTTGTTCTTATTTCCACTCCATCATGCTTCACAAATTTCTATATTCTGATTTTTCCATTTATTATAATCCTATGCTTTATTCTTCTTGGATTCATCATTATTTATTTTTGTAATTCATTTTGTTATTCATTGCTCATTTTGCTATTTTTTAAAACAGCCAAAATCTAAACATGCTCAGTGAATATTTAACTGGAGAAATTCACACAATTTTACAGAAGTAAAAAGTATGCATTTGATTTTGTAAACAGCATTTACAACGTGTTGTTCCTGAAATCAAAAACAAAAATTATGCTTTTGCTCTTTTAGAAAGATAAAACAAAAACTAGCAAAATCCTGATATATAGACTTAGAAGGGAAAGAATCTACATATAATTTGGATCAACCAAGTTTTCTTGTTGAGGGAGAAAACTTGGTTGATCAAATGGGCCAGCTCTAGCAGCCTCCCTCGCTTTCCTGTGATTGTCTCTCCTGGGTGACCCAGCTCCTGGTGTTCTGGTCAGCCTTTCTGGTCAGGTACCAGTGGGAGCTCAACTTGGTCAACCAAGCTCTGAGTGATGGTTTTTGCAAGTTCCTCCTCTGTTTTCTGTCACCGTCAGATTCCTAGTTGTAAAGTCCAATAGGTTCTTCTGTAATCTCTGTGGAGGCTCCAAGGAAGAGACCCACAGCACTGGATGACCTGGATGTCCACTCTGGGGTCTCTTTTTCCACTAGAGGAACTATAAGCTCAAGAGAGATTGCTCTGTGTGGCGCTTCTGGGGGAGGGGCACTGGGACAAGCTTGTGAAGCTGCTTCTCTTACTTCCTAACTCAGTCTGTCTTGATCTCTGTGGTACAAGAGGCCCTTCAGCCTCATCCCTCTGCTCTAAGATTTTCTCAGTAGTATCCTGTCCATGAATAGTTGTTGTTTATCTTGTAATGGGGAAGAAGTCAAGGAGTGACCTGTGTTACCATCTTGGTGATACCACTGATGACTGTAACTGTATTTTAAAGACTGATCCCATCATTCAGCTCATCTCAGTGCCTACCCATTTTATTCAAAAAGAGCATGTTCCTCTCCTACAGACTCAGGAAAGTGCCTTAAGTACTGTATCTTTTTCCAGTTTTTCTTCGAATAGTGCAGGACTTTGGATATGGTGGTTAGCAAATGTTTGTCCACTGAGTCTGAAGAATTAAGCATCAATATTTTAATGACTTCAATGCAGGATATATTAAAGAGTAAAAGGAAAATTCTTTCAAAGTTAAAGCTATCCAAAACCAAATTACAATAGCATTAAGTTTACTTCTCAATTGTAGTGTTTGTATATATTTCATCAAAGGATCTAAAGTTATTATTTTCTGTCTCTGTATATATGCCAGTCTTCTTAGTTCTAATCAGAATGTTAAAAAATCATTAGAATTATATACATTTCATAATAAAGTACCAGAAATTTCAGATAATGCAATAAATCATTCCTCCTGGTCATCTTCAACCTTCCATCTTAGTCTTTATCTTCAGGGAATAATACACACTAGTTTATTTTGAACTCTAGACTTTTTTTCTATTTATATAACATGTATTTATAGACCACACATGTCTAGAAATTTAAATGAAGTGCTTTTTGTTGATTCTCTTACTAGCTCATGCATATCTCTTGTATAGCACTTCTGGTATAGTTTTGTTTTTAATGCATCATATCAAGAAAATTTTGATCTTATCAAGTAAGATCTTAGAGATCAGAGACCCTCCCTAGCGAGATGGTGGTGCAACCTTTAGCTGTGCTCTGGATTGGTGCCGCTGCTACACTAACCACAAGGCTCTGGATTTAATTTATTTTCTCCCTCTAACTCTTTTTCTCTCCTGCTGTCACTCTTCCTTTCTTAAGATGGTGAAATAACAAGATAATAATGTGAGTTGTTAAAAAGAAAGAAAACAAATCTTATCAATCATTATTCTGAGTATTAGAATAAATTAAACTTAAATAGATGCCTCCAACTATTTTACCATATGTATGTTATTAACTGTATATATGATTATTGACTGTATACCTTACCTCACTAAATAGGTTTCTATATATGTATATATAATATATGTAAGTATTTAAATATTGTGATATGAAAATGAATCATTGCCTCCAGCAGACCCATTACAAATGAATTCACATCTCAATTAAATTGAGCTGTAAACCACACAGTTGATTACCCCAAAGAGCTCATTTTAAATGCATATGATGCTTAATGGCTCCAATGGGGAGGCAGCCCTTCAGTAGTGATGAATGTTGTAACTTTTAATTGAAACAAGGTTACCTAAGATATTGAGGTCACATAAGATGCTGTCAAAGCAGTTATGACTTTATAAACTTAAAAATTGAATATTGTGATCAAGACAATTTTCTAAAATTAATGCAAGTAAACTTCTCTACATAAAGAAATATTGTAAGACATTTACTTTTATAGCATATTTTTAATAGTTTGTCTTTTTGTTCTTGTAGCTAATTTTCAAAGCTACTGTTTTATCTTTAAATGCTACTGTTGCTCTAGATGACATCAGTATATCCCAGGAATGTGAAATTTCATCTAAGTCACTTTTAGGAAACAACATATTAAATGAAGGTAAGTGTTGTTTTTGTGATCAATGAAATTCTAAACACTTAAATAATTTGTTCATCTTGATAACAAAATACAATATATGTTAGAGTCCTTCAGTAACATGAAACTCACTAGTAACTAATTCCAGGATATAGTTTATATCACCACTCCTTGAAAATGGGGACACTTTTTTTTTTTTTTTTACTTTCCAAGATTCTTTCTTTCAGTTGAGGAATAATTAACTTACACCATAGTATATGTTTAACTTACATAGCATAATGGTTTTATTTACATATGTATGAAATTATTATTTAGTAGGTTCAGTTAACATTCATAATAATTTCATGTAGATATAATGAAAAGAAAGAAGTTTGTTCTTCCTGTGAGAATGCTCAGAGTTCATTCTTTCAGCAGTGATCATTATGATATTTTTTTAAAGTAAAAAATAATAAATGACTGTCTAGATGTTAGGCTCTCTTCCAATTAAACCTATGTTTATATTTAAAATTGTCACATGAAAACTTTTCAATTATATTTATTACATTTTGGGTGAATTCAATATATATATGTTGGTTTTCAATGAGGCACTCCTAGAATCTATATGATGTTATAATGCAGTGTGATTTCAATTTAAATAAAAAAAAATATTTTTCATGTTTTAAAAGTGCATCTATAAATCTGTCATAAAATTCATTTTATTTTAATTTTGGTTGACACTTCAAATGATCATGTAAGTAGATGGATGTTTAGGAATCACCTAGAAATGAAAAAATATATTGTTTTGGGGTAAGTAATTTAATGGTACTAACCTGAAGTTTCTATGGGGGATTTTAGCCACTTGTGAAAGGATTTGACAAGGATACGAGACTCAGACAAGTTTTATTAGGCTTATACTCACATACAAGGGAGATGGCAATGAGAAAGGAAGCTTCTGGATTGGCTCCCCAAAGGAAGATAGGAAAGGTTTGTCATGGCTGGGTCTGTCAGGGCAGGACAGAGTGGAGTTGTGCCATAACCTGTTTTGGGGTTGGACTAGAATGGGGCATATGCAGTTGGTTAAGCATTCTTCGGACATCAGTGTCCCATTAGTGTCATAAGTATCTACCTATGGTCAGAACCAGTTCCAGCCAGTTTGCGAGTCAGCCTGAACCAGGTTCAGTCAGTTGGAACCAGTTTCAACTAGCTGGAACTGGCTTTGATTGAATTGAGCTGATGTCAGCTGACTGGAACTGGTGTGAACTGGTTGGAATTGGCATGAACTGGTCATAACAGGTTTAAGCCAGTTGGAAACAATTTGAGGCAGTTTCAGTTAACAGGAACTGGTTAGACTCATTTACTGTGTATTTAGTGTCAGTTGCTTTAAAAATTCACAAGCAGCTTACAGCCATTTTGCATTAAAAATCAAGAAAATTGCTAATATGAAATATCAGTGTAGTTTAAAACAAAAACCCAATTTGATATTTCTCTTTTAGGTGAGACTGATTATGGCTGATCTCAAAAGAGTTGTAAACTTTCTATGAATTTAGATTTTTAGGCCTCTAGGATATGTTCAAACTTGTAAGGAAAAAATTATCAAAGATAAGTTCTAGCCAATTTTGGTAAAAGGAAAAAGGTTGCTGAATTTGTTGGGGTTGGCATATAGGGTCCTTGGTTCCCTCTGAGAATGCATATAACATTTTCTTGGTCCACTCTATTAGTCATTAAAGTTTTCAACTGTGTCAATCCTATATGCCTCCATATAGATAGTATATGCTATTTTGATTACTAGTCTAACCTGAGGAAAATCCCAAGGGGTGAAGGATGGTTTCTTTGCACAACAATAATAAATGCAGAACTAGAAGTACTTACGTAGCAGGAAAGTTATATCTCTCAGCAGAACTTCTCTTGGTCTTGAAACCCTAATAGGCCAAGCTGCAGGAGAAAACACTCATGCATGATTTTATTTGGGTGTGTACAGTTAGAAAATACCAGAAAAGTTCACACCAGAATAATTTTATATCTGGGTATATGTTGCCATTTATGAAGAACAGAGACAAATAGTCGGTATGTTTCCAAGTTTGGGAATCTTTCAAATTATCTGAGTTTCTCAACTCTCAAGCCCAACTTGACATCAGGAGGACAGGGCTAGGGGACCTGCCTGAGAGGTAGAGAGCAGAGTAGGTGGCCAAGTGTATTTAAACAATTCTAGATTTTTGAAAAGTCTGTTGTCCCTGCACTAAAAAAAAAGCACATGTATTTTTTTTTAGTTCTAGAAAGGTTATTAGACCAATCAGAGTGTCACTACCAAGAGTGTTGTGGACTCTTTATATTTATTAGATTAAAATCACTATTTTAATTTTTTCTTTAGGATAGAATCTAAAGTGTAGACTTTTTAAATGGCTATTTAATGACATTCAGTCCATTTTTTTTGAAGCATGTTAATATTATTAATTAATAATCATATCTATAATGTAGAAGGGTTCTGGTAATGAAGTTATTCTAGCATTTCAATTTTTGTGAACAGATATTGTTTCCTTAAAGACTAAAATAAACAATACTATCTTATATAGTGCTTGCTTTAGTTCTAGAAAGTTGCTTCTATACTACAAAATGAAGATTCTGTGTGTCAAATATTATCAGTGATACATTTTCTCATCTTCTCAATGGATGGGGATATATATATAACTTATTTTGTTCTTGTCTATACTATGTAATATAGTGAGAAAATCAAAATGTTCTTAAACAACTCTGTATGTTATAAAGATATTTTAATATTGCTATTTTCTGAACACTATAATGTATTTCTTCTAAAAACTGTTTATTTTGAAATACATGTGCTTTTTTTTTTCTCCTAAAAATAGAGCTAAGCAATTTCTCATTTTCTACTTTTCTGTCTGATCATAGGAAAGGCCACATAAGTTAATACTTAGTGTTTGGATTCAATAAAACCTAGGTTGAATAATGTTGGAAAGAGGAGTGATTTATTATTTTTCTGATTTATGTTTTTAAACTTAGATGCTGGTTGTGTATTTTCCCTAAACTACTGTGCCTGCTAAATATAGAAACATGTACCTTGAACATTGGCATTTCCAGAGCTGAACTCAGTAGAGGCTGAGTGATTTTATATGTTGATACTTTGAAAGCCATTTCTACTTGTTTTTACTAATTCCTTACTCACCCTAGTAAACTGTATTCTTTGAAATGTCCAAATTTCTTTCATCATGTAAATTCATCACTATTACTGGGCAGAGGGGTCTAAAATCTGTCACTGCAGATTTAGGCAGTGCAAATCTGCAAACAAATGTAAACATTTAGGCTTTGGTGCAGAAAAACAAAACAAAACTGGAATTTATTCTAAACAACAGTGTAGAGGAAGCAAGACAAGGTCCAGTAACCATGATGGTGTGAAGCTGAGCTGCTGTTACAGATGTCAGTAGGATGTGATAGGGGCTGCTGAGTCTGGAGCCCCTGCAGAACCTTCGGTCAAATTCTTACCAAGTCCTGCAACAACTGGGGCTCAAAGGTCAGCACTGCTGAGTTTGGGGGGGTTCATCACCCCTTCTCCCTGCTTGGGGAGAGGAAAAGGCCTGCCCCCCACTTGTCTGGCAGTACAGATGCTTTCTCGCAGCTCCCATTTAAGAATCATAACTCAGTGCACTGCTCTCGTGGCCAGTCTGCTGGGAACTACCTCTCAGCTACCCCCTTTCTCAGAACCAGGGGGTGAAGTTCAGACCAAGCCTGTGCAGGAGGTGTCTCTTCCAAGGTGAGAAGGTCAGGACACCATGGAACAGAATTTGCTCCTCCTACTGGTGAGAAAAGTAGTGAGGTTTGCCCTCTGCTGGGAACCGTCAGGGGCTGCCCAGGGGCCAGGGAAGAGAGGCTTCCCTGCTCGGGGCCACTTCCACAGTGGAGAAAGCTTGCATTTTTGGTAGGTAGCTATGTTTCTTTTGCTCTATTTTTATTGAAATGTACGTGTATGTGTTTGTGTTTTGTTTGCTCTGTTTTTATTTAAATGTGTGTGGGGGTTTTTTTTTGAAAATTTTTGAGATTTTTGGAGATGAAATTGGACATAAACTTAAGCTTCCTTATAGAATTCAGACTACCTAAAATGAACCTCTGGTCACAATTGCCTTTTATTTTAACAGAAGATAAGCTGTTATTTTCTACTTTGTGCTGTTTTCTATAGGCCTAACTACAGGGGGACACCTGTGTCAAAATGAACCTTAATTTGCTAACTAGTGAGCATCTTACCTTCCTACTAGATATCTATCAGTAAGCAGACCCCAGTAGATAAAAGACTAGCTAGTTTATTTTTCTTTGTAAAGTTAATTCTCTCATATTCATATTGTCCTCAAATACCAGTTAGACACCATTTCCCTATAAAATAAAACTAAAATGAACAAACAAAACACCAGGTAAAGGTAATTGTAAAGGCATGAAGCAAAAGTTCTTTCTGTTGAAGGCTCATTTCTGTGACAGTAAAAAAAAAAGAAGAGAAGAAAAAGACCATTCATTCTCATTTATTGAGTCATTGATTACTGAGGGGAAAAAAGTCCTTCTGTGGACAAGTCAAATCTGGGAAATAACCCATGACATTTTGATCAATTTTTGCTGCAGATAATTATGTTGTTAGACTGAAGAAGTACAAGATAGTAGAGATAAAATGAAAAGGATAGTAAAAAGAAAAATATGAATTCTTCTTTCTCACTTGGAAGTTCTATTGAGAATAAATTCCTTTAATAATAGAATCTTTTTCTACAATCAGATTTCAGTAAATTATGCTATTAGTGATATCTAAGAGGAGAGTAGTTTTTTTCTATGTGATTACTTCTGAGCTAATTTTAGATCTTGATTTTCAGTATGATTATTGTTCTTCACAATGAAATGAGTAAAGTCAAAAGTGAAGTATAAGTACCTTTTTTTATCTTGTAAGTCTGAACCACTAGTTCTCTTTTCTTCCACATCTACTCTTCTTGTCTATTTTGCTTCTGTTTTCATGTTAGCAGTGTTTATGACAGGTATAAAGGAGATATAATGATCTTCCCCTTTTCAAACTCAAATTTTCTTGCAATCCATGTCTTCTTACCTGGCAGAACTTTACTAGAAGATAATGAAATTTACATTGGCTTCCAGTATTGATTGAAATCTCTTTTAGGATACAGATATACAGTAGCTTGAAATCCACATGGTTATAATGTAAACACTGTCACATGCTCTCCCAGAGTGTGTGGGCTTGTCTTCTCCTGACCTGGTCTTTCACAAAGCAAAGTTTTAAAGTTAGTGAAATCCAGTTTATTATTATTATTTTTTCTTTGTGGATTGTGCCTTTGGTATCAGTCATTGAATTACTCAAAGTCATCTAGATTTTTCTAAGTTATCTTCTAAGTTTTATAGCTTTGAAATTTGCATTTAGGTTTGTGATACACTTTGAGTTAACTTTTGAGAAGGATGTAACATCTGTTTCTAGATTCCCATTTGCGGAAAAGACAATACAGTCAACTGAACTTGGAAAAGAAGTAAAAGCCAAGCCATGAACAAAAGATAATCTTTTCTAGGCTGTAAAAATTTTTATTCATTCATTGTCTTGGTATGGTAAATATGCATCTTTCCTCTTTACTATATATATATATATATATATATATATATGTGTGTGTGTGTGTGTATGCCAAGATGATAGATATTTTGTCCTTTTTCGTAAAAGCTAATGAACCTTGAGTAAGTAGAAACTGGAGTTATTCTTGCAAATTATGATGATTCTGATTATGATTGAGAAAGTTACTCCAGAAGATGTGAAATATTCTTAAATTTCAATTACTAAATTTCAAAGTCAGAAATATATATAGGGCCTCCCTCGTGGCACAAGGGGCTAAAGCAAAGCACTATGAAGCTATCTGAACCACTGCAGCATGAGTTTGATCCCTGGCCAGTGAGGTGACCCACATGGCACAGCAGACCTCTCTTGCCTTGCCCTCAGCAGTGTATTTCAGTAGATTTACCTGTTCTACTTTTCACTCTGTCTCTCATGAATCCACTCACCTCCCACATCTCTGGCCTGTACTACATTTCTTGCATGCATGCATAAATTTTTTTTTAAAAGGAAAAATATTCATAATTTTCGAATTATGGGTCTACGTATTTGATTAATAGCTAAAATTTTATTTCATCGGATCATTAAATATCTGACTGAATAAAGCAAGCTTGGAATATCTATAAAATCTAAATTTGTAGCAACAAAGTAAACTTAGAAAGGTATATTCAAATTTTAACAGTATAACTCTCTATTAAAAATTACTATCTTTGGACAGCCTTTCCTGCCCACTTTTGCCTATGCAAATGTCCTTTCCTCTCCTGTCTCTTTCTAATAAACTTACTGTTTAAAAACAAACAAACAAAAAATTACTATCCTTGAAGGCCCTTTTCTAGGAATACTATAAATTCCTGCAATAGTTTCTCAAGTTTTGCATATTCATTTATTTCCACAGCAATATCTCCCTGGATAGCAAATTTAAGGTTCCTTTTCCAGGTAGCTCTGTGGGACAGATATTATACAGAAGCAACTACATGTTTTCTATATTTGCATAACAAGAATTCCTAAATTCTCTTCTCAAACTCTTTGAAATAGTAATAAAAAATATTTTCTTCCCCAGGGATTGATTTATCTTCTACATATTATACATTGAAACTTCTGGAATATGTGTATTTATAAGTGATTGATATATGAGTAGAAATGGCCTTTTAAAATAAAGATATTATTCTTAGCATTATCCCAAATATATCATATTTCTTATTATTTTTCATTTTCATATAACATTTGATTTTGCTTCATCACAGATTTCTAAACTTTATATGATGTAGAAAATTGAAAATAATGTCACTAGCTCAAAATGCCTTTATAATTATTTTATAATCTCTTGAGTGATTCACTTTATACTTCTTTATACTTTCACCCCCTACACTTATTGTTACTTACTTTCTAAGTTATCTTACAAGGAAATATTTGTGTAGCTTATTACTATGCTTTTTTTTTTTTTAAAGATTTACTTATTTGTACATACAGAACTGGGGTACAGGCCAGAGGCTCAGGGGCGGTGAGAGGCTTCACCAGAGACAGAGTGGGGAGCAGAACAGGCAGATCGACGAAGTACACTGCTGACGGGAGCAGCGGGCGGGTCAGGCGAGATCTGCCACGCCATGTGGTCACTTCCCGGGCAGGCGGGAATCGAACTCATGCACTGAGAAACTTTCGCTTCTCAGTGCAGTGTTTTAACCCGCGCCAACAGGGAGGGCCTTATTACTATACTTTTGATAAAAATAGTCAATGGCTAAAAATCTCAGTGTAATAACGTACAATGGGCATGAGTCCTATTTTGGAATGGTATATATAATAACAACAAATTATGCCTGTTTTGTATATCTTTTATTTTTTCAATCTAGTGGCAATTAATAGTTATTGTCAACAGTTGCTAAAAAAATATTAAACTAAGAGAATAATTGGACTAATCCCTTACTACATCTTCTTAATAATATGACCTTGTTTAAGATAATAACTTCTCTAACCTTCCCTTTCTTTCTCTGTAAATAACAATACCAATAATAATAACACTTTCCCATTAGGGCTATGATGAAAGAGATATCTGTAATGAGCATTAAATATAGGATCTACTATATAAGGTTTTTGATAAATTTTAGCTATAATACCACACTACTCTTATTTTAACATCCATCTCCTTTTGTCTCTTTGGTAGTTTAGTATAAAATGCTCTGTAAGAACAATCCAACTTCCCACGTGATGTAATAGTAGCTAATTTGAGTATTAGAATTATCTAAGCAGATAAATTCTATAAAACAATCTAACTGAATGGTGAGCTGTCTTAGAAGGATTATTTGGGGGATAAAATGGAATTTTTTTTATTGGGACTTTAGCCATCAATTTCCAGTATGAAAAGCTCAACTTTAGTAATTTTTTTTTATCAGATAGGTTACTTTCTCTCAAAATTATGCCATTTAATGCATAAAAAAAAACACAGTAAGGTGATTTTTTAAATTACCCTTTGGTATGGTATGAAAACTTTGGCGAGTCCACCTAAGAGTCTTATATTTGTTCTTCAGTTTCCAGTTGTGACTTTGAAACAAATAGTTGTGGTTGGTTTGAAGCAATCAGTGGTGACAATTTTGACTGGACATGGAGCTCTAGAAGTAACCTTTCTACTGAATTTGAGCAACAGGCCCCATCTTGTGATCATACTCACAACACAACTCAAGGTAAGACACAAGCAGAGACTCTGTCTACCATTCCACTTACCTTTCAGTCAGTTTTGAGAAGACTAAGAGAAGCAGGGAAGATTCTGTGTTAAGACAATAAATAGTAAGACAGCTTATGGATGGTGGGGCTGGAACTTAAATAATTTTGGCTGAAATAACTGAAATTATCAATATCTTTAACACCATTTAACTTAGATATAGACAATAGTTTAATATTTACAAGAGGAATTTGACAACAATCATTTTTATTTTTAATGCTTGTAGGGACTTAATTTTATGTATATTTGAAACAGATACCTCATTTTAGAATCTAGTAGGTCAACTTATGATTACTTTTTGTTTTCTTGTAGGAAAATTTATGTTTATTCTGAAGAAAAGCAACAGCTTATCACAAGTTGCTAAACTCCAGAGTCCAACTTTCAGCCAGACAGGACCTGGATGCACACTTTCCTTCTGGTAAATATTAAAAACAAGGTCATTTTACCTGGACGCCTGGGATTGCAGGCATATTTCTGAATTTATTAAACATTGTTTCTTGGCCCTGATTTTGCTTTAAAAATAGCTGTTGTATTGGACTCACACAATTAGCATTTGACTTAGGAGTATATTATCAATATTTGTGATAAAAAAGGACTTAACGGTAAAATGGATGCTCCTTCCAACAGTGGATTATAGTTTAATTAGCACTGACTGTTTCTCTGGTCTTACTGAGCTCTTGGAGAAAGGCTCCCAGGGTCCTGAGAACCAGAGTGCCTGTATGCACTGCAGCAGATAAGCTTTTACAAATGGGGAACTACAGTTACTGTAGAAATAAAGGTGTTTATTTTGCTAGCTAATTGTTAATTGACTGCTGACCCAGTGGAAGAGACTAAAAGTTAAATATTTTCACCTATCCCATAGATCATTTAATTTTCATGTTTGTCCTTTTCAGGTTCTATAACTATGGCTTGTCAGTGGGAGCAGCTGAGATGCAGTTACATGTGGAAAAATCCAATGACCCTACTGTACTCTGGAGAGTATTGTATAACCACGGCAACCAGTGGTCAAAGGCAACCATTCAGCTTGGGCGCCTTACTCAGCCCTTCCATTTGTCACTAGATAAAGTCAGTCTTGGCATATATGATGGAGTCTCAGCTATTGATGACATCAGCTTTGAAAACTGTACTCTTTCCCTCCCTGCAGAGAGATGTGATGAGTCAGATCATTTCTGGTGTGGACACACCAAGGCTTGTATAGAAAAATTTCGATTATGTGATTTGATTGATGATTGTGGTGATTATACTGATGAGGTTGACTGTGGTAAGTATTTTGTTGTTGTTGTTCCATTATCAGTATTTATTAAGTAAATTAATGAACTAGATATGCAAGTGATAAAGTGATGATTACAACTATACAGTTGAAGAGACAGATACTGTAAATTGTTTAATACCTGTTAAATGTTTGGAGGTTTCTCAAAAGGCTAAAAATAGAGCTTCCATATGACCTAGCAATCCCACTCCTAGATACATAGGCCACTCCTATGTATCTACCAAAGGAAACAAAAACATCAATTCAAAAGGACACCTGCACTCCCATGTTAATGCTGCTCTACTTACAATAGGGGAGACATGGAATCAACCAATATGCTCAACCAGACTGGATTAAAAAGATGTGGTACATATACACGTGGAATATTACTCAGCAGTCAAAAAGATAAACTCATGCCTTTTGCTGAAAGGGGTCATGCTTTGTGAAATAGAAAAAGAAAAAGAAAAATACCAGATGGCTTTTCTCATAGCAGGATCATAAGGGATCGGGGGGGGGGGAGGAAAAAAAGAGAGAAACAAATGTAATAGAGCAAAAATGAAAACAATGAACAACTATAAACCAGAGACATTTTATGGGGGTGAAAAGGAGAATGGGATCAGAACTAGGGTGGGAAGAGTGTACTGGGCTATGGTGATGGCACATGGGTGAATTAGTGGTGAGAAGCCCATGGGGATTACAACTGAGATGAAAAAAATGCACAAAATGAAGAATGATGTAAAGAAGTAAAAAAATATAAAAAAGGAAAATAAATAAATATATATATATATATATAAGGAAAAATAATAAATTTGCAACAGGAGTTGCAAATAGGAGTGATATGGCATTGTACATTATTGGAATTGGATTTCTAGAGGTGATGACTTAACTGGTATCTACAAAATAACAAGTCAAAGTATATAAGCAAAAGTCTTGGTATACAACTGCATGGTAGAGAGAAGACAGTGTGGCTGTGACATGGAGGTGAAGGGAAAATAGGCACAGCAAAAGGAGGAGATTTAAGGGAAAACCAGGCTGACTAAAGTTAGTTTTCCATATTAAGGGTGCCTTCTGTATTTGAAAGGTTTTTAAGAAGGAATATAATGTAAAACTGGCATATTTTAAAATGTCACAATGTATAGTATAATGAATAGATTAGGGGGACTGGATTCAGGGGATCCACGAGGAGACCCCTGCAGCAGTTGTTGGGTTGGCTGGCAGCCTGATTGCAGTAATGGTGATGGAGATGAAAGTGTGGGGAAGCATTTAGGAGAGACAATTGGTGATTTTACATAGGGAATAAAAGAGTAAGTCAGAGTAAGTTGTGAGCTTCTGTTTTGAATTGCAAAAAAAAAGTGTGGTATCTGATGACTGTAGTTTTTGCAATTTAATGAACTTTTTGTCTTTAAATAGTGATGAATGTACCTGCTATTATAAAGAAATTAAAAACTGATAATTACAAAGATCAGTACAAAAAATGTTTGCATCTTTTCTTTCCCAGAAATAGCAACAATTCTTACAATTCAAGCTATGTAATGGTTGAATTGGGAGTTCAATGATTAACCAAAGTAGAGCCATAAAATGCTAGTCCAACATAGGAAACATTACATTAAGAAATTTCCTTTGGAATCACTGTATACAGTTCTATATATATGTGATTTGTTCATATGATTCAAGTAGGTATATTGAAGTCAGACTTACATGATCTCAAACAACTAATATTTGAGTGGCTATTCATAAAATGCATTTCAATAGTAATTATGAAAAAGTGTTACTTGTCCTAAATCTGTCTTTTTGAAATTTATAATGGCTTTTAGTCTCTTTTAAGTTCTCAAAATCCCGCTCCTTAAAAAATGTTGATCTATTGCTAAAAATAAGCAAATTAGGCTTCAAACTTCTCAGTACTAATTTAATAGAATAAGATTATAACAGTACAGGTATCATTTCAAAGGACTCTTAGCTGTGTATTTGAGGAAATGAAATAGTAGTGGCTTTAGATTATAGATTTCTCTAAGGTTTTCACTTAGACATATTGCTTTATTACATAGAATGCATTAGACATTCAGAAATCCAGGTTGTATTTCTTGAGGTGTGTTTAGGGACCTGGTTTTTATTTGAAGGTGGAGCTACACATAATCCTTTATGAAATGGAGACTGACCATGTAGTCAGTATGAAGACAGATGATATAAAAATCTTTGGCTTTAGTGCCAGTTTTATGTCAAAAAACTCAGCAGCTTGACATTTTCCTCCTGCTTCACAGCCAAAGATTGACACCTAGAGAGTGTGCTGTGGGTCCCCAATTCACGTCACAGCTGGGCTTGATTAGTCACAAGTGAGGAAATATCAAATGAAAGCTCGTCTCCCGTTTGACATTTACTCACTTGGTTCCCTTCATTAGGTCTAAGCTCCTGTTCTGTGGATTTCAGGAACAGATGATTTGTTCTTGCCTGGCTGCCTTTATTCACATATGCTTTTATTTATTGTTTCAGAGTATTTGTTCACTTTTGGCACCATGTGCTGTTACTAAGATGAATAGATAAAGGACAGCTGACTTTTTAAAAATATTAACTTATGTAAATGAAGCTAGAATGTGGAAATACTCATTAATTCTAAATCCTGTCCCCTTTGCCCAAATATGTCAAATGTATATTGTCGCATTTATTCAAAACAAACAGTTGGTGTCAACAAAATTGCCACATCTTGAAAAATGAGTTTGTCCCAATATCAATCTTTATTATTTATGATAAATTTATATTAAATTTATGCAGTCTATTCATTTGATAAAGGGCTAGTTAATTCTTATTTTTTTTAAATATTATCCTCAGTATAGTGTATATAAATTCTGTATATTTCTTGATATATTTTCTAGATAAAACATGTTATTCTTTTACTGTTTTAAATGTTTAAATAACCATTACATCTTTTAGATGACTATTTTGTTCAATATTATACTTGTGAGAATAATAACATCAAAACAATATTTCCAGTTATTTTCACTGCATTAAAAGTTTAAATTTAAGATATGTACCATAATTTATCCATTTTTTCAATTGATAATACATTTATGTTGTCTCAATTTGTTAATTCTTTTTTTTTATTTTACATGTATAGTACATCTTTCTTCATTTTTTACATTTTTTTTTCATCTTATATAATGCCATGGACTTCCCACCATCACTTCACCCATGTGCCATCACCATAGTCCAGTGTGCTCTTCCCACCTCTGTTTTGATCTTATTCACTTCCCCTCTCCTGTAGAATGTCTCTGGCTTATAGCTGTTAGTTGATTTTCATTTTTACTTTTTTTTCCCCTGATTCTTATACTCCTGCAATGAGTGAAACCATCTGATATTTTTCTTTTTCTTTCTGGCTTATTTCACTAAGCATTATCTCCTCCAGCTCCACCCATGTTATCTCAAATGACATAAGTTTATCTTTTTTGATTGCTGTGTAACAGTCCATTGTGTATATGTACCACATCTTCTTGATCCAGTCTTCTATTTTTGGGCATTTGGGTTGATTCTACATCTTCCCTATTGTAAATAGTGTAACTTTTTCATTCTTATGAATATGTCACTAAGAACATTTTTGTAGATGTCTCTTCATGTTCATAGCCATGATTTCTTTAAATATAACTAGGGATGGAGTTACTGGGATAATGGAGAATGCATCTTTACAACTTCTTTAAGTATTGCTGAATTGTTCTCCAAAGTGATAATAATTTATGTGGTCATTAGACTACAAGAATTCTGATATAATCTTCCTAAATGTGCTACTGTGAGACTGACACTTTGTCTGTCATATGCATTGGATAAGAAATTAGCAAATTGTTTTTAAGCAAAATATATTCAATCGTTACTTTATTGAACAAGTAGCAGGGAAATTAAAATGAAAAACCCAAGTGTACCTCAATAAAGAAATGCATGACTGAACAGTGGTATACTCACAATAGATTATCACTTAGCAATAAAAAAGAAAAAAAGCACTGAATACATGAATAATATGCACGAATTAGAAATGACTATAGATTTTCAGACTGATCGGTTTTACTAGCTATAACCAACATAGTGTTATATTCCCTAGAATAATGTATTTTATAACTGAAAACCCATGACCTTTGACCACATTAACCTATTTTTAAACTGAAGTATCATGTGATAAAATGTTCAATTGTGCTTCTTTAAGCATCAGCCATGATTACATACTAAGGTCTCTATAATGTTCCTTTCCATCACTTTCCATACCAGTCTCCTTAGTTTCCATTTATTCACTTTATCCAACTTCTTTTGTAATACCAACAACCAGTTCCATAGTCCTAAAGTTATTTTTGTTTTATTTAGTTCATCTTTGTTTCCTCATCAGTCTCATTAGCCCATTTATTATAAGTGCACTGAATCCTTATAGTAAGAGAATGAGTAAGTGAACTTAGGAAAGGTTGAAAAGCTTCAGTTCCAAGTATACTCAGTGAGAAGCAAAGACCACCACTGAGGACACAGCTCAGAACTGGCAAGGCATGTGAGCTGACATTAGGCATAAATAAAGAAGGGGAAGGTGTGAGGTGCCCAGAGCTTGGAGGAAGTGTACACTCTTTGGAGAAGGGTAATTGGCAGCAACAGGGAGTGTCTTTAATTGGGGAAAGGTAGCATTTGAAAGAGCAATTGAGTTTTAGTTCACATTACATTAATTATAATAAAGGATTTTGAACATAAAAGGAAAGCGACAAACTGTCATTGAAGGATTGTCATTCTGTAGAAGAACTTGAAACCAAGGCAGGATGGATTCAGAGTTTTTCAGACTAAGGTGAGGAAAACACATGCATCAGAATCATCTCAGGTGTTTGTTAGAAACATGTATTCATGGATTTCGCCTCTTGAGTAACAAGTTTCTTGCAATCCTTTAATATGGGGTAAAGAGTTTTGCCATACACTCCTGACTCTGAATGTTTGAGACACATTAAGTATGATGGTTCTCAGCTCTTTATGGTGGAATCAACCCAATGGAGCTTATCAAATACCCTGATTTTTGGCTATAGCTTTTGGACTGTGGGGCCAAGTAGGCAGGCTTAGTGGCAGGAATGGTAGGGGGCTGAGAGACCCAGGAGGCCACCGAGTCCCTCAGTCCCCTTTCATTTTTTATTTGTTGTTCTCTTTCTGGCTCTCTGGCATCGTGTCATCAGGTAGTGATCTAGTAGTTGCACCTCAGCGTGATGCTGCCTCTTAGCCTTCACCTCGTGGCACAGGTGCCCATCATCACAGGTGCACCTCTTGGCCCAGGGTATCTGCATGGGCAACAAGCAACCCAGAAGGACTGCACAACTGCACGTGCCAGCTGTGGCCAGTTGGCAGGAGGATGGAAAGAAGCCCAATGACTTCATTTAACCTACTTGGACCAAATATCTCTGGAAGAAGATTATGGGTCTGACATTTTGTTGTTTTGTATTTTAATGCTCGTTTGTGAGTGGAACAACAGCTAAAGTTGAAACATGTGTTGTTAGGAGCCAGGCATTGTGCGATCATGTGCCTAGATTTAGAGTAATAGAAATGGAGGAGGCAGGAGGCATAGGAGTCGTTGGAAAATGATGGCCAACGAAATTCCACCTTCAGTCCCTAAAATACTGTAACTTGATGTGTTTCCTCAGACTTAGTCAGTATTTAAATTCGTCTATTATAATGTTGTATTTTAAATTTTAAATTGGTTTATGTTGGCAGGAACAAAGGATCAACTAGTATGCTTAATCATAGATTTTGTTGCCGTTAATTATGTTTTGCTATTGTTTTATGCCAATTTTAGCACCTGAACTACAGTGTAACTTTGAAAATGGAATTTGTAACTGGGAACAAGATACAAAAGACGACTTTGATTGGACAAGAATTCAGGGCCCAACACCAACACTTAATACAGGACCAATGAAGGACAATACTTTGGGCACAACTAAAGGGCATTATCTCTACATAGAATCTTCAGAACCTCAGATTTTTCGAAACAGAGCTGCTTTACTCAGCCCAGTTCTTAATGCCACTGTTACAGAGGGCTGCACCTTCCGCTTATATTACCATATGTTCGGCAAACACATTTATAGGCTGGCCATCTACCAGCGAATCTGGAGTAACACAAGGGGACAGATGCTGTGGCAGATCTTTGGAAATCAAGGCAACAGATGGATAAGGAAACACCTCAATATTTCCAGCAGGCAGCCTTTTCAGGTATGGATAATGGGTTTTATAATGCGTATTTGAAATGCATCAGAATGTCTAAGGAGTATAAAAGATTGCTATAGTCTTGTATTAAAAGCAAGTGAAATTAGCTCAGCATTACTTTGACATGCATTTGTCATTTAATTATGGTTGTACCAAAGCTCATTAAGTTGCTTTCCTCCTTGCCTATCCCCAATACTGTGTACCTAAAATCTCTGACAGTGGACACCTGGCATGGAAACAGTTGCAGGTCTCTCTGATTTTAAATACTTGTTCCACTGGAAACAAACAAACAAAAATAATGGAAAATGTTTGGTTTAATCTCTGATATTTCCCTAAGACTTCAGACTCTTAGATCTGTTCTTTTGAAAATTCATTTGGAATTTTTCAATCTTGTGGGGAAGCAGTGAACATCCAGGTAGAATGCATATTTTGGTGAAAAACCACAGCGCTAGCATTTGAATCTAGGTCTCTTTATTCCGGCTGAAATATTTTTGCTCTAAATCTTACCCATCTTCCCCTAAAAGTCAAAGGTGTAAGAGAAAATTCAAATTATTATGTGGTTTTTAACAGTTTTTTAAAGGTCTTCTATGTGTATTAGCTATTAGATTCTCACAATTCCTTGAAGTGAGTAAATCAGAAGTGCTTTTTGACAATTTTATAGATATAATGGAAAGAAAAATACTCAGAGAGGTTATTTATTTGTCACCAAGTAACAGGTGAGCAACAAAACTGAGAATTAGACTGGAAGCCACAGTTTCTAAGTAACACACATTCATCCCCTTGCTAATATATCAGACAGCCTGTGACTTGTGGGGTAGAGTGTGAATATTTGTTCTTTTGTTAAGTAGTTCTGTTATATGATATGATATAATATAATATAGCTGAAGAAACTTCTTACCTATTGGGGCTAAAGTATTTTTTTTTTGCTTGTACTAAATTTCACCCAGTGATTCAAATTTAAAAGTCTTTCCATCTATATGTTTGTTTTAAAAGTATCATAGCCAAGAACTTGGCTCCAAGCCAACCTGTAAGAACTTCTAAAATATTAGCTCAGAGTGACTTTTTGCCATTGAACTACAATGGTAAGATGCTTGTAAACAAAAACTGAAGAGGGATTCTTTGACTTTTATTTAATCAAAAGATCCCTCTACCTCAAATTAATTTTTAATGTCTAATCGAGTCAGTAGTGATTTGGACCAAACAAGTACTTAGTGGATAAACTCAGCTTATGATGTTTACTCAAAAATTGGCATCCAGGAAATAATCTACTCGATAGGAAGCAGCAACACAGTCAAATGAAAATGAAACTAACCAAGGAATCCTTTCATTTTGAATCTAAAACTAACCAAGGGTTGAAAGTTATCCTAGGTTATAGTTGAAATGCTCTGTTTGGTTTCATCTAAGAATTCTTTAAGATTTTTATTTTACCATATGTTACCATGATCAAGATAATTAAAAATAGAATTTGCTTCAAAAGTTTTCTCATGTCTCTTTGTAATATCCCTTTCTGGGCCTTATTCTTGGTGCCAGTCTCACACACACACATCTCATATCTATCTATTTATATGTCATTGTTGTATTTATATGTACTTATATATTTATACTTTCTAAGCAATTAAATAAGTGAAATTGGATAGTATGTACCTTTTGCTGACTTGTTTCATTTGGTATAAATATTTTGATATTTATATTATAGAATATATCAATAATTAATTTATTTTTGCTAAATAATTATTATATAGTATACTTTATCCATTCACCTATTGATCCGTATTTGGGTTGTTTATAGTTTGAATTATTATAAAAAAATATGCTGTGAATATTTGCATATAAATATTTATATATAAATGTTTATATGAACATCTGCTTTAATTTATACTTGGTAAATTCCCACCAGTGAAGTTGCTGGATCACAAGTATGTTTAACTTTGAGAGATCTTAAGCTGTTTTCAAATTGTACCATTTTTATCCCTAGCAATGCAATAAAAAAGCTCCATTATCTCTACATCCTATCTAGTACTTACCATCATGTCAATTTTAGTCATTCTAAATGAACAGTAATATACAGTAGTAATGGTTTTAGATTTTCAAAGTGCAAGTAATAATATGCCAGAACAGGTGGCTTCCTGCTTCTAGCTCCCTTCAATAGAAATAATGTGGCCATCACCCATGTACTGGAGTGTCTGGCTGGTAGCTTGGGAATCCATACATAGGCCATGGAGTGACTTCAGTAATATAGGAGACTCACCAATTTTGAACTTTTGTTTCAATAATTGATTAACTTATTGGTTTCCTATATCTTTATCTATTATTATTTACATAAAATTAAATGTTTTCATCTAAATATTATACATGTTCATTATGAAAATTACGTGGGCATCAAGCTTTGGTTAGATTGTGAATATGCCCAGATATAGTCTACCTCTCGTGCAAAGGAGACTGCATTCATATAAATTTTTTAAAACTTTGGGAATGTGAAGATTGTTTGGTTTCTGATTTTAGTTAAGATTTCTTGTCGTACCTGTACCTTAATTCTCCTGATGTAGTTAACTTCAAGATTTATGAGGTTACTTTCACAAGATTCATAAAGTTCTGAGTCTCTGCAATAAATTTAGTTGTGCTGTATGAAATACATTGTTGGGATTTTACTGAGGATATTTGCATCTATGTTCACCAGGGATATTTGTCTGTAGTTTTTGCTTTTATCATGTCTTTATCTGACTTTTGTATCAGGTTCATGTCTTCATAAAATGCACTTTGAAGTATTTACTCTTTCTCAAAGAAAAAAAGAGTTTGAAAAGAATCTATATTAGTTCATCTTTGAAGGTTTGGTTGAACTCATATAAGCTCAAATCATCTTTAAATGATTAAAGATGCGTTAAATCATCTTTAAACAACTTGGTGAAATCATTTGGTCCTGAATTTTTGTTTTTTTGTAAAACTTTTGATTACTGTTTCAATTTCCTTGCTTGTAATTATAATTGTTCAGGTTTCTATTTCTTCCTGATTCAATTTCAGATGGTTATATTTTTCTAGGTATTGGTCCATCTCTTCTAGGTAACTCAATTTACTAGCATACAAAATGTTCACAGCAATCTCTTATGATACAATATCTAAGATGTTTGTTGTAACTTTTATTTCTGGTTCTATTTATTTGACTTTTCTCCCTCTTTTTTCCTTTGCAAGCCTAGCTGGAGGTTTATCTATTTTTGCAGAAAACTAACTTTTGGTTTACTTAATCTATTGGACTTTCTTTTTGACTTTCATTTCATTTATTTCTGCTTTGATGTTTATTATTTCCTTCCTTCCACTAACTTTTGGTTTGGTTTGTTTGTCTGTTTTTCTAATTCCTTAAGGTAAAAGGTAGAATTATTTAATTGTGCTCTTTCTTGTTTCTTGATGTGGTTACACTTGTGTTACTATATATTTCCCTCTTAGTACCTCTTTTCTGTGACCCATAGATTATGGGAGGTTCTGTCCTCATTTTAACTTTTCTCAGGGTATTTTAAAAATTTCTTCTTTGACTTCCTTATTAACTTAATAGTTGTTTAATGGTTTCTTGTTCAGTCTCCAACTATTAGAGATTTTTTTACTGCTTTCTTTCTGAGCTTGATTTTTATTTGATACTATTGTGATCTGGCAACATAGTTGGTATGGTTATAGTCTTATTGACTTTTTTGATACCTGTTTTATGATCTAATAGATGAGCAATTGGTGAATGTCCCATATGCACTTGAGAAAAATGTGTACTTAGGTATTTTTAGATGCAGTGCCCTATAAACATGTCTTACTCTCATGCAGTACCATTCATTTTTAAAAGCTTTTGTTCTTCTTTACTTTCTGTCTAGTTGAACTTTCCATGGGTCAACGTGGAGTGCCGAAGTCCCAGCCACTATTGTGTTACTCCTCTGTTTTCAGATATGATAATAATTGTCTTATATGTTTTGATTCTCCTTCATTTTGTAAATATAGATTGATGCACGTTTTATCTTTCTACTGTGCCCTTAATCATTGTATATTGTCTTCATTCCTGTCTCTTGTTACCTTTTCAAGCTGTTTCTGGCTTTCTTTAGGTTCCATATTCTTATATTTTATTCTAACCTTTTACCTCAAGCCTGTCTTTATCTTTAGAGCTTGTGGAGATTTCCTGGAGGCAGCAAGAAGTACATTCTGCTTTCCAATCGAATCAATCACTCTGTGTATCTTAGTTGGAACAGTCAGTCTATTTACAGTAGGGTGATTATTGCCATAGGTCATTTTATCCTTAGTTTTCTAGTTCTATCTTTTATATACTATTCAATTTAGACAAGAGTGTTTCTTTTGACATATCTTGCAGGGGAGGTCTAGAATTTATAAACTACTTCAGCTTCTGTTCATCTCAGATTTTATTTCTCCTGCATATCTGCTTTCATCATATATTATTCTTAGCTGGCAGTTTTTTACTGATATATTTTGATAACATCATTTCATTCTTTCTTTTCCCATAGGATTTCCTTAGAGAAATTAAATGTAAGCCTGTTATGGGTGTGTTTATTGTTTTGCTGTTTCTTATCCCTAACCAGCTTCAATATCCTTTGTCCTGAACTCTTGGAAGTTTAACTACTATGTAATTATATCATTTTTTTAAAACCACACTTTTGTTCTAAATAGAATTTAGAGATTTTCCTTATTTCCATAATGCAGAAAAAATTATGGTCGAACAGCCTTCTGAAGGAACATAATGGCATTTGATATAGTAACTTCTGAAAATCCCAGTACTTCTTGGGAAGTTGTTGTTTCAGTTCTGGTTATTTGTATTAATTAATTAATAATGAACTTTACTAATGCTACTAATATCCAGTTGTCTGTATATTGACCTTCAGGAAATAATCTGGAACACTACAGGACAGTGATTTTCATATGAGCACTATGGAGTTTATCAATATGTTTCTCCTTCCAAATGATGTATTGTTGGAATATTCCTATTTCAGCTGGTGTAATATTGAAATTGTGTCTCCGGGAATGAG